GTCATGGTGTGTTCGGAGCATCAAAGCAGAAAATCTGAGACAAAGGGCCCAGATGCAGAATTTCCTGCTATAACCTAAACCAAATGCCACTGAATGCAGCTTCCCTCAAGATCTCCCAGCTACGCTACTGTTCACAGCCTAGCTGGTGGCCAGCATCCAGACTGAGCATTAGTAAAACCAACAAACCAAACAGTTCCCACAGTAAGTCCCTTGCTCTCCAGCTAACTTATTTAACTGCGGAGCTTGTAAGAGGGATATTTCATCTACTGTTGTTGCAATAACCAGTAAGCGGGTATCCATGACAAAATCCAAGGGCACTGCCCTATGGCAATGAAGTCTTGGCTACGCCGCAGCAGCAACCGAAAAAGGTCAGAGCTGCTCGGTAGCCCTGCTCCATTTTAAAAATAAAGCCCATCAGTTTCGTAAGAAATGAGGGAGGCTCTTCAGTGGCTTTCAGATCAGACCTGGGATGTCTCAACACAATTCTCCCAAAGACACCAGGGGAAGAAAGGCAAATGCTCAGACAAGTATACAAGGACAGCACCACGGAGCTTTGCTGACACCCATTCCCCCCCTCCCTGCCAACCTCCTCTCTATCCTGTTCTCGTGCTCCCAGAGGTAAAACTCCCTCTGCCATAATTTGTTTGTCTTTAGACAGGGACCATTTCTACGTGGTTCTGTACCTGGCTGGTCTTGCAGTGCTGCCTTCTCTAAGGTTTTCAGTGCAATCCAGGACACCTGGTTTGGTGATCTGCGGCTGCTCCGTTTCACCCCTTGGATAATGCTGCTGAAGTCCACCAGAAGGAGCCTTTGTGTATCAGTTTTGTACAAGCCTCAAGGAATATATATTAACATGCAAGTAAAAAGCCAGTGAGTTCTCTTAACTATGTGGAATTACCATAAAATTAATCTTCCCAATCTGTATGAGAATAGGATGCCCTGGATTTGCAATACAAATCCTATACATTAAGAACGTGGATGGTTGTACACCGCTGCTAAAGACAAGTTTTCTCCAAGCCTCCTCATTCATTGACCAGTGTAGTTTTATTTCTCAATAAATACAAAGAACTGAACACAGCCCTACAAGAGCACATACCAGATCTGTGTTCCCCTTTTTGCTTGCAGTCTGCTCTTGGGTTTGCGCTAAGCGTTCCCCAAGGCAGCTTCGTACGTTGAGATACGCCTCTCTCTGCAGCGGCTCTTTTGGACCAGAGAAACTTGAAACGTACTCTTCTCGAGTGCTCTCACCGTTCATAGCAAAAGGTCCTGCAGTCCTGATCTGGCGGCTGGATTTAACCTGTTGGTGTTTTGGGGGGGGATGACTGCTTATCCCGAGAACAAGGGAAAAAATATATTAAAAAAAAAAAAAGTAAAAAAAGTTAACTCACATGAAGTTACCCTTACTCGCTTTCCTTTCCCTCTGTGTTTGTGGTAAAAGCTCATTAGACCCTGTGCTTATAATAGCTGTACCATGAGACAGGAGATTTCATTTCCCGTCCTGCTTTCCAGGGCATGGCAAAACAAACGCATACCCACCCCGCCCCCAGCCACACCAGCAGTACCCTGGGGACTGCACCGCTCGCTAAGTACAGGTTTTGCCATCATTTCTTTCTTGTTCTGTTCTGCCTGTAAAAGAACTTCTGTTCCTGCCTCTAGGAAAGAAGAGGAACCGGGATTCCTCCTCTGAGAGATGCAGGGCTCCTGTTGGAAGGGGAAAAAAGTATGCGATGTTTTTCTCCCCCTGCCCAGTGTAAGCATCAAGAACAGAGATACTTCTGGTAGCTTTTGAGAACTCTGTGAGCCTTGCCTTCCTCGCAGAGGAGCCGGAGTCTGTTTGGATGATTTGAATCGTTGCCATCATTTGGAGCAGAATGAAGCTCTGTAAAAGGACAGCGACTGAATGCCAACTGGGTTGTCATTAGCTCAGGCTGCCCAGGAAGCAGCTGATGTGCAGTTTGTGGTGGAAGTCGTGCAGACAGAAGGGGGGTACAGCTCTGCGGTGGAGAGGCCTCGGCCTCTGGCTGTGTTCCGACCCCAAAGGTGTCCTCTGGGCTTGTTTTTGGGGTGGACCAGGGACAGCCAGCGGCTGCACATACACACATCACTGCATAAAACAACAGACAGGCTCCAAGGACTCCACGTGACTGTCCCTTTTGCAGAAGGCTGTTAATGGTGCAGTGATGTTGGGTGCTGCTGGCCCAGCTCCATCTTTCTTCCCCAGTAATCAATGGAAACGTGTCCTAGTCTTGAAGTCTGCTGCTTTAGGAATGAAAAGCCTAATGGGTTTCCTTGGCTTTTTTTTTTTGTTTTTTTTCTTTCTCTTTCTTTTATGAAGCATAGGGTGTTTAGAACTATGGAAGCAGTGCAAGAAAAATATTAATGAATAACTATGGAGTGCAGGCATTAACACATTCCTTTCTCTTGAAATAACTGGTGTTTCTCTGTGGGCTCCGTAAAAGAAAAATGTCCGCAGAGTCTGAACCTGCTGTATAGAAGCCAAAGTAGATGGTGATTTAGAACTTTGCTGGCTTTTTTGCTAAAATGTTACCGCTGCATTTATCATGTGGCAAAAAATCTCTCTTTCTCTGCAAAATGATGACCCTGTAAGAGGTGAGATAAACCGAAGGCACGGGGCAGTTCTTGAGGTTCTGGCTGATGAATATCTGAGTGAAGGAAACTGTGAATGAAAAATGATTTTTAGGATCCCCTCCCACACCCCAGACCAATGTCGGAGGGGAGGAATTAAAGCATTGCAAGCACCCCACCGTGGGAGCATTCTCCAAGGGTGGATTTTGAGGAACCGAGTAGCTTTTCAGCTTTTGTTTTCCTGCAGTTAGGAATGGAGGAGAACACGCATTGAATGTGAGGCTGCACTACGGTCACTATACTCACAGCTTTGAACACGCTTTTCCCAGGTCAGGCCTGAAAAGTGCAGGTCACATCAAAGGCAGTGGTGTTTCACAGCCTCCCTTGTACAAGCTCACCACCCTCAGGGGGAACATTGGACGCTTTTCAAGATTGGGCTGGACAGGGTGCTGGGCCATTTTGTCTAGACTGTGCCTTTGCCAAGGAAGGTTGGACCAGATGATTCTTGAGGTCCCTTCCAACCTGGTATTCTATGATTCTATGATTTTGTGAAAGTGCAAAAGGGGGACAGCGGAGAGGACCCCTATTGCTGACCCCCAGTGGAAACGGGAATACTGCATCCCTGTCCCACGGAGGCAGGCTGCAGAGGCAGATGTTCTCCATGTGTCCCGTGGAGAAGCAGGAAGCTTAGAAAGATGCTTTTGGACCTCTGTTCAATGTTTAAGCAGTGTTGACTTGGTGCAAGACCCTCCTGCCTTGGCTTCCTAACACGCCTTTGCCACCCGGTGTGCCACAAAGGCTGGCAAACTGCTCGAGGGCTTTGTCCCTGGGTCCCAACCTGCCGGGGATTAAACGCTTGCAGTTGAGGTTGTTATGCAATTGAAAGAAGGGATGAAAAAAAAAAAGAAACCC